GAGGTGAAGCCTCCTGCCGCGCAGCCGGGCCGGCTTCACTTCCGGAGCCCTTAAGGGTCCCGTCCGTCACCGCCGTCCCAGCTCCTTCCCTCGGAGACCCGTCACGCGAGCCCTCCCGATTTCCCACTTTGTCTTTTAAGTTTAAGTTATTAAGAAAGTCCATAGTGGTCCCCACGAGTAGCTAGGGAATTACTTGGTCCGCCCACGCAGCGCCCCGCATGCGTGGGTAAGGCTGGATGCTCTGGGGTTTTGCCCGGTTCCCCAGAGGCATCGCTCGCGACACTGCTCCCCCAGTGACATGCAGCCATCGCCATGATGGCTTACAACTTGGCTTGGAAAGCTGGTCCGCGGCAACGGTCTTTCCTTACCCTCCACAGGGTTTCACTTCCGTGGGGCCAGGTTATAACCGCCACTACCCAGCAGCACTGAGTCCCCTCAGAGAACTCACACCTACTGGGCGTCCTTCTATCCGCCACCTTGGAGACGCGCCCGGTGGGTAGCTCAACCCCCGGGAAATTATGATTTAAAATACTTAATTAATTTTATAAAGTCGTAATAAAATTTTATGGCCCTTGTATCGAATTGCAATTTTTCTATATTCAAAATTAATTTAACGTTTCATAATGTGTTCTCCGATGTATGTAATTTATTTCGTTTCGTAGATAAATTTATTTGTCCAGTTGTCCTAATACTTGCGACGCTTTGTACCTTTGCCACCCATACGTGAATATGAAGTACGATGCTTCATAAGCATCTCGCTTTGTCGAAGGTTGTGAATTCCAATAGGTTTTATACGGTTTACATTGCTATGTCGCAAAGTTTGCTATTTGTTTGTAAATTATTTCATTCAGATATTCCCTCAAAATAAATGAGCGGATATTTTTCATCACGGGTATAAAACCGTGAAATATGTTGCTAATAAAAATTCGACTGTTGGATAACTTGAATAATGCATAGAAATTAGATAAAAATTATCTTAACGAATAAACAATAGAAGAGTTTATTTAATGTTTTAAAATGTATTTAAAGAGCTACTTAATTAACTACTACTTATAAATTGTTTTATTTTTTAATTATTTTTTATTATTACAAATTATATTATATTAGGAAATCAAAAAAGTTTTTGCCGTTTTTTTCGATAATTATATTTCTCAAAATTTGTTTAAGAATTGATATAAATATAACCTATAGTTTCGTCACTTACATTGAATGCAATTGCAAGTTCTTGGCATGTTAATTTCGAATTTGCCTCAATTGCTACTTTCAATTTGTCATTATTCAGAGATGTCGGTCTCTCTGAGCATCTTCTAGGGACTTATTACCTGATGTAAATTTTTCAAACTAATGACGAGTGGTTCTTTATTTTACTACATCTTCCTCAAATGCAGAGCAATTTTTTCGGCTAGCTTCTGACGCTTTGGATCCAACTTTAAACTTGTACAATAAATAAGTACAAATCATTTAGTTAAACAGATATTTTAAGGAATTAAAATATTTATTTAACCAAACCAATGGACTTTAATTGTTATAATATCACAGTTATTCCATGAGTTGCGTCTTTGCGGTGCGGTATTAATTTATATGCGTAATATTATAATAGTTTACACTGAAGATGGCCAAAACCGATGGCAGAAACGTATGATTAATATACTCATGTGGGAATTGCATACATCAGACTAGTATTAGATACTGACGAGATACAGATCTAGTACCAAAAAACGACTTTTACGTTTCGGTACTGGCATAGTACAAAGTCAGTATTAAAATAACAATGGTTTAGTACTAGCCCATTATCTAAATCAGTATTGAATAATGGTACTAAAATGGTATACTGTCGGTAAATTTATGGTACCTGTACAAAAATTAATAAAAATAGTAATTTAATTAGTAAAAATTAGTAATAGCTTTGTATTGTTTTATTATAAAGTAAAATATGTATTTTACAGTAAAAAAAATTCCTGCATTATTAGTCATGATTAATAAACATACTCAGACACAATTTTGAGAATTATAACAACAAAAAACAGCAAAAACTTTTTTACTGATTATCTAATAAAAAAATACTGTTGCAAAAATAACTTTTTTATTAAAGGTGGTAGATTTTTAAATAATTTTATTCATATGTATAAACTGATAATATTATCAGGAGACGCGGTAGTGTCTCCGGCTAAGTTAAAAAAATGACACTACTAAATCTCTTATCCTGCGCGCACAAAGTCGATTTTTCGGGGGTTTGTAGCAATTAAAATATAAGAAATTTTAAAAAACACATAGCATATCCTGAAAGATGGCATCGCCACGAGTAATTTGAGCCGGACAAATTAAAATTGGTTCAGCCGTTCCGAAGATACAAGCGATCAAAAAGTGATGTTTTCCATATTTTAATAAGAAACGTCGTCTCCTTCTACTCTTCTGTTCGCCAGGGGCGGATAGAGAATTTGCGAGGCCCAGGGTATTATTTATAATTTACGGGAATTTCTCGCATCAGGTGCCAAGAGTCGACGAATTTGACTTTCGCGAGTTGCACTACGAGAATTTTTCGCACCAGGTGCCAAGGGTCGACAAATTCGACTTTCCACAGTTGCGCTACGTGAATTTCTCGCACTAGGTGCCAACGGTTGACGAATCCGACTTCCCCAAGTTGCACTACGAAAATTTTGCAAACGAGAGAGAGAGAGAGAGAGAGAGAGAGAGAGAGAGAGAGAGAGAGAGAGAGAGAGAGATATATATTATATAATAATATATATATA